CTCAGAAGCTGAGCTAGATGCAGAAGTTGAGCTGGATGCAGAAGCTGAGCTAGATTCAGAAGCTGAGCTAGATGCAGAAGCTGAGCTAGATTCAGAAGCTGAGCTAGATTCAGAAGCTGAGCTAGATGCAGAAGCTGAGCTAGATTCAGAAGCTGAGCTAGATTCAGAAGCTGAGCTAGATTCAGATGCTGAGCTAGATTCGGATGCTGAGCTAGATTCGGATGCTGAGCTAGATTCGGATGCTGAGCTAGATTCGGATGCTGAGCTAGATTCGGATGCTGAGCTAGATTCGGATGCTGAGCTAGATTCAGATGCTGAGCTAGATTCAGATGCTGAGCTAGATTCAGATGCTGAGCTAGATTCAGATGCTGAGCTAGATTCAGATGCTGAGCTAGATTCAGATGATGATTCAGCTTCTGGAACTTCTGCGATAAATGTGAGTGTACCATCAACTGTGGTGGCAACAGTAGTGGTGTACGATCCAGTCCAAGACTGAGTTACACTTGGAATTGGTGTAGGTACAGCAACATAAGTTATTGGGTCACCATTAGCATCAGTTGTAGCAACAGTTGTTGTCAGTTCAACTGATGCATAGGAAGTCTGATATGGTACAACTGCAAGTACTGTAAGAGATCCATCAATAGTAGTAACCAACGTGGACGTGTCGGAACCAGTCCAATTTATAGTCAGTGAAGGTTCTGGCGTGGGAATACCAAATAATGTTTTAGTAACACCATTGTCAGTGGTGGTGAAAAGTTGGGAAGCACTACTAGCCCAATAAGTGACTGAATAAGTAACTGGTGTTAAACGAATAGGGGAAATAACACCATCAGTATGAGTTGTGAGAACCGTAGTTGTGAATGATCCTGTCCAGGGTGTTTGCAGCCATGGAAAACCCATTGTAGGAACGATCACAAAAGTCCCTTCAAAGGTAGTAAATGCCCCGTTTGTAAAAAAGACAGTACTACCTGTGGAAGTAATTGTTGTACCATATGAGGTACCAAGCAGAAGAGTGGAGTAGGTCGGAGAAGGCATCTCAACTATAATAGTGGCTGAACCATCTGCACCCACTGAAGTAGCTGTAGTTGTAGAACCAACAACATCTGAAAGAGTCGTTGTGGTGACAGTATAGGACAATGGGACATAAATGTCATAGTACAATGTACCTAAACGATCAACGGAAGATGAGGTAATTGTACTTTTAACTGCAGTATTAGAGTTTGTAATTGTAGTAGTGGTTTGACAAGAACCTTCAACTTCATTTGTGGGTAAGTACAAGTTTGGCAAGTTACTACTTGTTGCAGTGTTTGTGGTGAATACAGAATTACCAAACCATGTTCCACCTGGATTCTGATATCTAAATCCAAGAGACATTGGACCACCACCACCACCAAAAAGAAGTCTCATCGGATAGTATGTACCCGAAGTAAAGTCATATGTGACGGTACCAGGTGAATTCCAAACAACACTGAAATCAGGCAGGGCATCGACAGGAACAACTGTTTCTCTACAACATGGGAAAGCGTTTTCAGAACCAACAAACAAGTATACAAGATCATCACCGTCTAATTCAAAGGTGTAAGAACCAGTTTCATCAGCGAAGAAATACATTCTGAATTCCACTTGAGCAATATTCCACCAATAGAATGTTTGAAAGTATATTGACAATGCGGCAGCTCCACCTGTTGTAGATGGAATAAAAATAGAAGGCGGCAAAGTTTTGGTTGTACTGGGAGATGCCAACCAAGTCCATTGATTGGTATCAAGAGATTGTAAAGTGGCATAACCACTCTTAGCCGTTCCACTTATTGTGGTAGTTGTTATAGATGGGATGGGATAGACTGTCATCTTTATACCTGGCGTCACTGGTACAATAGGAACACATCCTAAATAAGCGGAGGCATGATCAAAGAGTGAGGAAAGCCAGATTAAACTAAGGGCCAACCACGGCGACCCAAGCTGCATCCTGGATGAGCTATGTCAAATTAACGAATGGGGTATCCTATTTCTCTACTCAACAGAGAAAAATCCTAAAAAATTATATGAACAAATAAGAATAAACTTAATGAAAACTAAAATGACTAGCTAATTATTATTCCTTGTTCAGGAATCATACCGATCTTTAAATGTTCAAGAACGTCGTCAGAAAGGGACTTCATGAAGATACGCTTTGTGCACAAAGTTATTCATCTCGAGAAAAGAATACTACGTAAATGCCACAATAAATTATAGAGGGTGTTGGATAGCCGCATGCACTTATCCTTTACTTGTTGAAGAGTTCCACTTTTGGATTGGCGCTTTGAGTTTAAGGGCTGCGAAAACTTTAAACTTAAACCAGTCGTTAATGATAGTGGATGACTCAAATTTTTTTTGCAAGGCATTCTGCATACAAGGAACGTAATCGAGATTAAACCATAGCGTTTTTTGGTGTTTTTCCGTTACAAAAGTTTGCTTAAATCATTTTCTTCCCTCACATTGGATGCTGCAATTTCGATTTCAACTAATAGCGATGACTTTAAAAATAATAAGGTACAAACTGAGCACCCACCATAAACAGATATTTTATAGAGAATTGCAAATTTTTGCAACTTTACATCGCTACGGTGAACCGATCTAGGCTCCAAGAGTACGCGATATTTGAATTTACAGTGAAGGTTGAACTGAATTAAGTACTTGCTTGTCTAGCTGTCAGTAGAAAGCTAACTATTGACAAAAAAAAGTCCGCTTCCTACCACATTACTCAGAAAATATGCATTAAGAGACAATGGAGATTGTCTTGTAGGTGTTTTCGCATGCGCTAAAAGCCTTGTCAACAATAAATGCAGAATTTCATCAGCCACAAAGAGGGACTACAAGGGTTCACGAAAAATTTCATGAAGCCTAAAAAATATCGCCACTTATTCCGGAGTTTAACACATGCATTCCCTTAAAATTGGGACTAAGTGTTATACGATTTGAAGAATCTTTGGCTATAATTAATTGGACCTATAACTTCAGAACACTCTAATCCTCGCAAAGTTTCTGTCTGTTATTAGTAGTATTATTGGATTAGTAGTGAATTAGTAGTTTTTATTTTCAAAGTTTCAGAGATTCTTCATTTAGAGTTTGAGGGAAGCTTTTAGAGAATACGAAATTGTGTAACTTTTCGTAACTTTCCTTGGACTTATACCTCGGTTATATGGGAAACCAACGTGCCCACAAATAGGAAGGGTACCAGGAAAGCCAGGGAAAAAATCCCGAAGGCTTGCGAAAGACGAACAAATGCTAGTGTGAATGGGTCCTCAAGATGATAGGCACTTTCGATGTACCATTTTATATTCTTGTATGCAGTGTATCTTTATTCAAGGCATTAGTACAACCTAAAAGCGTGAAATGTATATCGGCAATACTCTAAATCCACTCGTTACATATCCAGCGAATCTTATTGAAATGTACATCGGCAAAACTCTAGATCCGCTCGTCATGTACCCAAGGAAAGTGTATTTTTGCCATATCGTTTAACAGGGAAATATTCCTAGTGAATGTATTCATAAGCGATTGAGGCTTTTTATTCTAGCTAATTGTAAGCTAGGAGTCATCGGTTTCGAGATTGCATTTATTTAAAAAGCGGGCATTCAACTCGAGCATTTAAACTATATAATGAATACAAAGGTAAGACTTCATTGGTTATCAACTGTGTGCAGTAGAAGCGAGCTTGTTTGAAAAAGAATCTTATTGTTCCTGCTCCTTGGAAATTAGTCAATCTCATTATTACATAAGATTAGGAAGCTATGGAATACTATATACATTGTAAGGGGGAGACGAATATTTAATGGCTCAGGGTCCCCCTGGAATATTGAAGCCTATTTTCTTGCACAGAGAATTGAGTCACCTGTTGTTGCGGTTCTAAGCGATGTAATGTTCGGCTACGATGAAGGTTCCTGTTCTCGTTATTTACAGGTAAATTTCTGGACCTTTTAGTGTCTTGTAAATTCAACCTTATTTTTCGACACCTTCATTTTATACGAAATAAGTAAAAAGAGACATAAATATCCCCAAAATGAAGTATCTTTATCTTTTTCAAAATAAAATTACGGAAAGTTTAAAGTTCACAGAACTGCATTAATCGGTAGGTCAATGAGTTTAAGTTCCGATATAATGTGATAATCTTGTTTTCAACAATCTGCCGTGAGTTCCAGTTTTGAATTTCCTATAGTATGCAGTATGTGTGAGTCTTGTTTTAATGGACCTAGTTGTTATGTTACTTGTGTCCGTCACGAGCCACACTTTCATGCGACCTAGCTCTTGACATTTCGGATATTTTGTAATCTGCATTATACACCATTTGTACACCATTATAAGTAACGGAATTTAAACTTAAGTTAGTAGGATTCCCCAATAGTAGAAATAGTGATAATTTCATTTCGTGAAATATCATCTGGACAATCATTCCATCCGTATTTAAAATTTGACAACTTATATTATAGGAACATGAAACAGTTCTGGGAGAAGCTCTAATGTAGATTACTACAGTTGGAAAAATAAAAAAGTTAACGGTTTACGTCTTCATAGGCAGTTGAGAAAAACTTTAAACCAATTACACTGATGACTACTTTTTGAGTTGGTTACCATACAAAATTGTGAGTAGTTCAAACTTATCTTGCCTGACTCATGCAAATTGGTACAAACTCCTTAATTATGTAAAGATACTAGCAAGTAGTAGCCTTGTAAAATTTTAGATGCCTTTTCATCTATCATTGCAATTGAGTGAATAGCAAGCATAATAACGTTTGGTCATCTTGGCATTGCCTTCAACGAATGGTGAACCTTATCATTGACCTCCTTACTTTTTATTCCTTGTTATCCAATTTCTAGCTTTTCAAATATAGAGTATATGAATGATAGGACCAAAATAGTCGGGCCATCAAAGCATTATTTCTTAGTTTTGTCATATTTCATTGAAATATAACATGAATAGAAAGCTGTCAACGGAAATATTGATAATCAACTCTTTGTATTGGATTTACTGTTGATTTGTCGAATACACTCAAAAATTCGTATTCGACCTCATAGAAGTAGTTAAGTTGATGATTTGAATTGCTAGGATACCGGTATATGGCATGCGCTACATTAAATTTGAAAGATTGCTATCAATATATTTAGAGACAATGGGCGTGTCTCTGGTGGTTTAGGTAAAATGGCTATCTCTAATATTCTGGATGAAAAGGTATATTCGAAAAGTATTGTAGACTTTAGGCCATCAAAAAGCTCAATTTGCAAGTACATTTCAACACCTACTAGCAAATAGCAATGATATCGCTAGAGTAAACATATAAATAATAATGAATAGGAGTGAGTTAGAGTTATATCTCTATAAATATGTATTGAAAAACTGATGATAATTACATTAAAAATAACATGCAATATGAAAGATTTTGCAAGACCTACGTTTTTGCTATTAGTCTCATTCAATTTTTAGAAGCCGTGCATATATTTTACACATTTATCCGCAATTTAATGGGTTTGGTTTTTAACGGGGTTAGATATTCATTTCAATAATCGAAAAGCATTTTGTCTAAGGGATTTTGATTGGGTATGATTCAAATTAGTATGTTTTGCCTATATACAGATTTTTATTTCTCACATATTCGTATTAATTCAAATTTATCTGTAGTTAACATTATAACGATATTATTTTACAGCACGTGCAAAAACTTATAAGTTCGATAACTTCTTTAATTGAAAAGTCGAATTAAAATGTCTTGTTCTAGCCATTTTTTGAATAAATTTAGCTAGGATTATATATTTGAAACGAAGAAGAAATGGGTTATTGCTGCTTTCATTTTCAACCGCATAAATTGAATATTTATGAGCCATATGTTTAATTCTGCTTTAAATAAGCTAAAGATCCAATTTGAGACCAGAGCACACTATGAATGGAGAAATTCATCAATTCTTTGACGGGATTATAACTTTAAACAACATCTTTCACTGTTTCATGATCAAAAAGCGCTTATCTTGAAAGCACTAATGAGTATTTCAACTTCAGTTGCAACAGAAATACCTAAGGACTTAAAAGTATAGATCTTGTGACTCAACAGAAAAATAAGACACATAATTGGATCAGAAGGTTTTCAACCATAGATTGAACACTTTCGGCATTCATATGTTGTTCAGGAAGCAAAACCTCTTCCTTGATCATCAACAAATGATTCCCTAGCTAGTATTGATATTAGCCGTGATTTTGATGTTTGCATTTTTTCTATTGAATGGTTCAGAAGTCATTATCTTAGTACCAAATAATCATTTTACAACATGCGACAAATTTACTATGAGGTCGACTCAGGTATGATTACTTGACTAAGGATCCAGGAGAATCAGGGATAACGATGGCTCTCAAACAAATAGCTGGCTATATATCCGGAAGAGTTTTATTCTGCGGGTATTCTTCAATGGGCAGGCTCTCGAAGAGAGATTCGAAATGATATCTGAAAGTGGACATATTTTCATTAAAAAACACGATAGTGCGAGATTCCATTATAATTTATTTTTTGAAGAGTCAGTTGATGATCAACCTTAAAAGCGGAAAAATATGTGCATTTAGTGAGCTTGTGACTAAGACCAATTATAGTGGTAACGGTCGGATGATATATCATTTATCTAAATACCTTCATTTCTATTTAGCTGTTTACGTCAAACTATTGATTTCATATTTTGTCTTGGATTCTCAAATTGTTTGCAATACCAGAAGGTTTTATTCTGATTGTAAGAATTTCGTATGGAGATCATTGACCTGCATGACTAAGAATTAAAAACTGCCGTAGACCTCGTAATTAATCAGCTTCCTTCGCAGTTGGGTTTCCTTCACGGTGCTTGTGCTTAGCAA